GGTACGCGCGTTGTCTGACCGCTTCCGCCATTTATCATTCGGTTTCCTCCTCTTTGTCTGCCTTTATACACGCCTTTCTACATAAAAAAAAACTCAATTTCGCATTCCCCAACCCACCCTTTTCCTCTCAGATTCTTCTCAGAGGATAGTTGTTATTTCCCAAAGCCCGAAGTCTTACACGCGGGGTCCCTGCGAGGCTGGCCGGCGATCCACGAGGGCTGGCGTCAGATGCCCTTTTTCGTCGGGCTGTTGTCGTCTGGTCCGCGCCCCGCGATCTTTTATTCATTCCCGCGTTCATTCATGCTTTTTGTGCCTGCTCTGCGGGCGTTTGGATTTTAGCATTGCTCTCGGGTGATTGCGCTTGTGAGATTACGTAATCCACGGTGGTTTATTATTAGTGTTGTTATTTTTATCATTAGTTATCACCGTTATCGTCGTCCTCCTCCTCCTCTTCCTGCTCTACCTCCAGATCCTCTTCTATCTCCACCTTCTCCTCCACATCATCATCACCATCGTCATCAGAACATTTTCTTTTATTTTTCCCAATCTTTTAAAGTCTGTTCTCTCGGTAATGGAGGCCACAAGACGGGAAATTCGGGCCTTGGGAGATGCCTTTTAAGCAGTGGAATGATTATGAGTTGCTGCTATGGCTGGGTGGCGGGGGGGGAGGGGGGGCAGAGGGAGAACAGAACTGCAGCGAAGAGCAGACTGTTGCACGCCTGACTTGTGCTTCGGTACACCGGAAGCTGAACAGGTGTTTGAGGAAGGAAGGCGTAGATATATTCTGTCCTTTTCACTTTTTTTATTTTGTTTTATTGACGTCGTTTTTTAACCTTCTTGCGAAGGTATAACGTATTATGAGCGAAACTTCCAAGAAAAAGGGTTACTTTGAAGTCGGACGAAACGCGCAGAAAGTTCAAGGAAGGAGTCGGACCAGGTAGAAGACGGGGTTTGGGTGGGCGGGTGGGCGGGTGGGTGTGAGTGTGTGTGGGCTGAAGTCCGCTTTGGCGTGGGTTGGCTGGGCGAACGAGGAGGGGGTGGCAGGAGGAGTGGGAGAAAGGAAAAAAATATGAAGAATGTTTATATATACAGCTATATATGTACATGTGTGAATGCGCACGCGCACACGCATGCATGCATACATACATACATAATATACGTACACACACACACACACACACACACACACACACACACACACACACACACACACACACACACCACACACAACACACACACACACACACACACACACACACACATATACACACACATATATATACACACACATACATACATATACACATAGAGAATTCGAGATACATGGAAAAGAACGAGGCGACCATCTTGATCCCAGTTAATACAAAACAGAAGCCAAGAAGTATCGAAAAAATGCCGGGCCGCTGAACACTCCCCCGCAGAATCCAGTCGATACCTTCGCGAAATCCTGCGACGAAGTTCCACGGTTTCCCTTCTCGAAGCGGCGGTGACGTCACACGGAGGGGGAGGGGGGGGTGAAGCCTCGAGGCCTCAAGCAACACGACTCTGTGTTGTTATTAAGAATTAAGTATTTATAGATATTGCGTCAACCGGAGTGTCCGTTTCTTGGAAGTTATTGGTAAAGATTAATTGATCAGTTCATAATGATGATGATGACCATGCTGTGGAAATTCGTGTTATGCTGTGGGCATCTGAGGTCACATAACTGTGCTCGCATGCCCTTGCTTGTATGCGCCTGGAGGGGAAAGAAGGGGGAGGGGGAGAAGACGCTCAATTTCAGATAGAAAAGGGAGGGAGGTTGGTCAAAGGAGGAGGATTTTTTGGTTGGAATGTTATGTAAGGGAAGCTGGGATTATGTGTATGTGTACGTGTGTGTTTGTTTGTATATGTTCATGTATATGTAGGGGAGAGAGAGAGAGAGAGAGAGAGAGAGAGAGAGAGAGAGAGAGAGAGAGAGAGAGAGAGAGAGAGAGAGAGAGAGAGAGAGAGAGAGAGAGAGAGAGCATTGTGTGTGATATTTCTTGATCCCCAGAGGAGGATGAGTGTGGGCGTAGAATTAGGGACAAATATGAGCTGGATGACGAGGTGGATGCCAGCAGAGTCGCGGGTCACGAAGCTGGAGGTGGAATCGGACTTGGCTTGGTAACACAAAGTACATGTATCTTGCAATTGTTGATATTCTCTATGGGAAACATACTTTTACATTAAGTTTTATGTTTGGGAAATATGGGTATTTATAGGCAAGTTCGCTACAGGAATTAGCTCGCGGCTCGTCAAGACAGATGGATTCAGGCGGAACAGGTTTCTAAAATACTTAATGGATATACAGAAAGACGAATGTAGGCCTATGCATATTTGTGTAAAGTTTTGTGTCTTGGAATGACGTTGGGGAAGGAGCGGGCTGGTCGGCAGGAGTGACACGGGCTCGGGGGAGAATCAAGTTCCTCTCCCCTCCTCCCCTTCCCCTCTCCCCTGCTCCTCTTCCCCCTTCCCCCTTCCCTCTTCCCTCTCTCCTTCCGTCCTCCCTTCCCCTTCCTCGCTCCCCCTTCCTATCCCACTCCCCCGCCTCCCTCCCCTCTCCCCCCCACCACACAACCCACCGTCGCCCACCCTGCAGTCGCGCCTCTCCCTCTGCAATGCTGCATTTCACAACCACTGCTCATGTCTCTCTCTCTCTCTCTCCTCTGTCGTCTTTTTGTTGTTTTTTAATACAATGAAGTGTTTTGTTTTATGTTTCGTGTTTATTGTAAAAGCACGCGATGCTGGTGTTTGCTTGGCATGACGAGAGTTTTTTTTCCTGTTTTTTCCCCTCCGATATTTTTCCCCTAGACCAGTGACGTGTCCAGGATGCCTCTCGCCTTTTTTTTTTCCTTTTCTTTCTCTCGTCCATCTTTCCTCCTCGTGTATCGTTGGAATCTGGCAATAAATGTTTTGCTTTGTTGATTTCTTCATCGTGAATAAATCTCTTGATGTTTGGTCCTTTATTATAAAATATATATTCCAAGATACTTTTTTAATGAGCGCGGTTTCGTTGTCCGCTAATTGCACGTAAAGTGATTTGTACAGGTAATTAAGCCGTTTTCTCAAGCATATTACTCGTCTCTCCTTTTACTTTCGAGTCTTGAAATGAAGTTCTCCCTTGGTTTTTTCCTTTTTTCCTTTTTCCTTTTTTTCTATTTCCCTTTTTGTTCTCCTTCCTTTTCTTTTCTTTTTTTTCGCTTTCCTTTTTCTTCGTTTTCTTTCTTCCTTTTCCCTTTTCCTTCTTTTTTCGTTCTTCCTTTTCCCTTTTCCTTCTTTTTTCTTTTTCCTTTTTTCTTTTTCCTTCTTCCTTTTCCCTTTTCCTTCTTTTTTCTTTTTCCTTTTTTCTTTTTCCTTCGTCTTTTCCCTTTTTCTTGAAGGCGAGGAATCTGCGCCCTTCACACTCTCGGCTCATGAATGGAAGGAAATATGAAAACGCTGTCTTATGTTTCATGGGCAATAATTTCTAGCGTGAGTGAGGGAAAAAATTGTTTTGATTCAGGTGTAAATGGCGGGAGGGATGGGAGGATTGCGAATAGTGAATGTAGAAAGGGTAAAACTCGTGAATGACGAAAACCTGATAAAGATTGGAAGAGGGGTTGATGAATAAAAAGCGAGAAAAAGGAGAAATTGAAAGGGAGTGCATTGGCTGTTCGCGGAGTTTCCCGCCATTGTGTGATCCCCCTCCCCCCCCCCCCCCCTCCTTTTAGCCATGTGGTGGAGCTTCCCCCGGGGGTCACCGCGGGCTAATCTGTGCCCTCGGGACAAGGAGAATTAGGTCGTTGTTCCTTTGCTTAAGGGATGGACATTTGGCGCCTGAGGAATGGGGGGGGGGGTGGATGGAGGGAGGGGGAGAAGAAGGAGGGAGGGAGGGGGAGGAGGGGAGGGAGGGAGGGGGAGAAGAAGGAGGGAGGGAGGGAAGGAAGGAAGGCAAGTCCCGGATGTCTTGAATACTCCTTGTTTTTAAGAAGAATTTTTTTTTGAAAAATTGTTTGTGCGGAAAGACCCGGAAGGGAAAAGGCGAGGGCTAAAAAAAGAAATTAATAAAGAACGATAATAAAAAAAAATCGGGTCTTACTCCAGGAGTGTGTATTTTGCTTCGAAGGATAAGCCGCGAAGTGAAAACAAACTCCTCTCGGGTCTCTCGGGTTTATAAGCCAAGTGGAGCGAAAGTTGGCTATGGACTTCGCTGCATTTTCTAATTTTCTTTTTTTCCGGCCGCTTTTATTTTGGTAATGACAGCGACGGCCGTTAATGATAAGAGAATGACATTTTGTTCGGTAATGATGTGAGCGGTTAGGTTTAATGGCGAATATTCGTGTTTGTTTGTTTACAATTTTTTTGAGGGATTGGTGTGCAAATGAGGTGCGTGAGGCGTGGTAGCAACCTTCGGATTCCTCGCCCGGGATAAGGTAAAAAAAAACGGTAGTTCAGTGTGCGGGATATTATCGGCGTCTATTTTCTTTTTTCTTAAGGTAAAGGGGAAAGAATTTTTGTTTGAAGGGGACTGGCTATAACGGGTATTAATTTTTATGGGTTATTTTGGGATTTTTGGAGTTCTGTTTGATGGTCGATCCGTGCAGCAAGAAGTCCAGGAGCGCGTGGGGCTTGACACTGGTTCTGGCGAGTCCGAACGGCCTTGTCGGAGGGAGTCGGGGGTCCGGGGGGGGTCGGGGGGGCGGGGGCGGGTGTGTTGAGGCAACTTGTCCTGCCGAGTGTGACGTCACGAGGTTTACCTTGGCGGTCTTATCGCGGCGTGCATTAGGAGGATGACTTTGCTTGTTGCCTTTTCCATCCTGAGGGATTCGATCCTGTCTTGGCGGCGCGAGTCCCGCAGGGAGGAATGGCGGCCGGGCGCCTGACGGGCGTCGTCTCGGCCGCCGTGGCCGAGAGGCGGCTGGAGGCGGGCGGTGTTTTGCGGGATTGCAACGCCATTTTCTCTCTGTCTGAGCGTGAGTTTAATGAAGCTTTCTCTGTTGCAGACCCGGTGAAGGCGGCGCGGCCAGGTGGACCTACCAGCGGACCGCGCGGGCCGCACGTGGGCCATGGCGGCAGTGGGCCGGGCCAGCAGCATCCGGTGCCGCATGCAGAGCAGCTGCGGCGCCTGGAGGCCGAGGTGGCGGCCCGGGCGGCGGAGGTGAAGGCGGCGCGAGCGGAGCGGGACCAGGCCGGACGCGGCGTCGAGGCGCTGTCCGTCATCATCCATCATCTCACCCACACCGTGAGTACCTGCGCAGCTTTCTTCTTTTCCGGCGCGCCCGCGGGCCTCGCGGGCGTGCCAGCATGCCCTCAGTCCACGCTGTAATCACGCCCGAACGAGATATTACAACCAATGTCCAGGCGCAAAAAAGGAAGCAACATCTGTTCTCGAAAACATATTTATAGTTCCTCGTGGCAGCTGCTGCAGGGACCTGCGTCGGCCGGAGGCAACTCCCCTGCGAAGCCAGACCGGATCTGGTCACGCCAGGCCACTCCTGTTTATCAAGGGCCGAGTGTTAGATAACCAAACACTGTTGCACGTGGCACCCCCCCCCCCCATTCGCGCATCTTGGGGGCGGCCCCTGCACCCGGCTGAGGAGCGGCCCCGCGCACCCCGGAGCGTCGCCCTCGCACGTGTTCCCTTCCAAAGCGACCAGGTTCCCAGGCCTTCCTCCCCATTCACGGCCAGCTGTCTGTCCCCATAGCCGCTCCCCCGTGTCCCTCGCCGCCGCCATCCACGCGGCCCGACGGAACGATCGGCGGTGGGAAAAGCAGGGGAATGAGGGCTCTCTGCGCGCCGCTTTCGGGGAATCGCCGGATCTGGAAAGGAGAAAGGAGCGCTGGCAGGGAGGATCTCGGTTTTCTTGGAGCAAGGATTTCTGTGCTGTCCTCCTGACGAAAAGAGTACATTTATGGCCTCCCGACAGCTTCCTTTCTCATTATTACAGTTGTTGTACCCGAAGGATGGCGATACTGGGACGACAGACACTCATCACGCAGCGGAGAAAATAAGAGATAAAATTGTTTCATCGGTTGTGCCATGTTTCTTTAAACAAACAGACAATATGCAAAATGCCTGTAACAATCCGGCCTGGAAGGAGTGGAGTTCCCAATGCAGTTTCGCTTGATATTTTCGGCCTGGTCATGTTGCAGTTGGAAATACAGTTCCTTTGTGTGGCGTCGGTTGCAGCAGTTTCTAAACCCCGGCCGGGAGCGACGTGCTGGAGGCAAAAATCTTTTTCCTTACCATAATGAGATTCGCTAAAAAAAATGGAAATCATACTGAGCTATTACCGCAAGGGAAAGTTAGATTACGAATATTTTAGCAATTTCTGTAATAACAGTCGTTCTTCACCGGGATAATAAACGTATTTCTGTCACCGTGATGGATTGCGGCGGCGAGGCAGCGGATCGCGAACACGCAGGATAAACCGCCGAGGTCCTTCTCAATGACGCGACCTGCTCCCCCTCGAAACCCGACCCTCGCGCCGTCCCCGAGACCCTTGATCATGCCCTGAAGAAAGCTTGTGGACCTGCTTGACCATGCCCTGGAAAGGCTTACGGATCTGCGCTTGTTATGCTTCTCTTGGACCTCATTGCGGAAATGCTGATGAAGCTTTAAACTAATAGATGGGTAGTTTTGATGAATGAATACATATATATGCTAGGAAGACCAGGAGAACAAGCAGGGCCACGCTAAATATATTTCTCTCGGAGCATATTCCATTTTGCAGAGAAATGCTTGATTTGAATAATGAATTGAGTGAACGAATAAAGATATATACCAGGAAGACAGGTAGACACCAGGAGGCCCATCAGCCAGCGCTAATATTTCTGCCTGTGGTTCCGCGCTGATGGTTTTGGCTTCCTGCTAATGGGAAAGTAATAGCCTGGTAGGGAACCGTGCAGCTCCTCTCCCTGTTAACAAGGTCATGTGGCCAGGGCGGCCTGGGCAAGGGAGGAGGGCGTGAGTAGGGGGCCAGGGGCAAGAGGTACAGTGCAAGGGGCAAGGAGTGAGAGTAGAAGGCAGGGGGCAAGGGGTGAGAGTAGAAGGCAGGGGGCAGGGCAAGACTGTAGGAGGTAAGGGCAGGGCGAGACTAGAAGGTAAGGGGCAGGGTGCCATAAGTGAAGGCAAGGGACAGGGGGCGGGAGTAAGGAGTAAAAGTAGAGGGCAGGGGACGGGGTTGGTGGTAGAGGGCTAGGCGTATGCAGCAGGGTGGTACAGGGTAGGGGGCAGAGAGTAGGGATTGATGGCAGAGGTAGGGGGGGGGGGGTAGAGGGTGGCATGCTCACCTGTTGATGAGAGCAAGCTGGTTTTTCTTCCGCGTTCTCTAGTCTCTTTTTTTTTGTCTCGCTCTCTTTTCTCTCGTCGTCATTAGTTCTCCCAGTTCGTGGTTGCTATTCTGCTCTCGTACTGCTTCCAGAGTTGGAGTTGTTTACGATCATGTCTTTTCTCTCTCTTTCTCTTCCTCCCTCCTCTCCCTCCTTCCCTCCTCTCTCCCTCTCCCCTTCCCCCTCTCTCTCCTTCTCCCACTCCCTTCCTCTCCCTCTCTCTGCTTGATATCAGTCCTATGCCATCAGAGCAGGCAGGTGGAGGGGGCAGGGGGCAGGGGGCACGCCTTTGTGGGTTGGGAGGGTCAGCCAAGGCAACCTCTGACCTCGCGTCCCCATCAACAATAACAAAGTGTAATGCTCAGGCTGTATTGGCATCGTCGGGGCTCTTGCTTCACCTACTGACACACTTACACCTGCACATTTACATTTTTTTCATGTTTTACGTGCTTTGGTTTGCTATTGCTGCGATGGATGGATGGATAGAGAGATGGATGGGTAAGTGGGGAGAGAATGATGGATAGGTAGATAGGAATATCCTAGTTTTGGATTTATGCATTTGTTAGCAGAGGATTTAGGAATTCGCCGACTCACGTGAAGTCCGAGCACGAATGGCTTCCCGCTCGCCCTCGCCCACTCGCCCCAATTCGGCGCATCGGGGCTCGTGAGCTCGGGCGCCGCGCCGCCAGGACTCGGGCTTTGTTCCTGGGTTCCGACCGGCTTCGAAGGACGCTCGGCTCGGCCCCCCGTCGCCGGACCCGTCTGATTATAGGCCTTCGCGGGCGGCGGCTCGCCATTTTGGGCGTGCGCTGGCGTAACTCATCGAAAGAAGCCGTTAATAGGCGACGTGGCACCCCAGCGGGCCGCCATTTAAACCTCCCGCCGTGACGTCACAGAGACAGATGCGGGCGTGGACCTCGCGGGCGCAGAGACGTCCTATTATTATCCCATCCGCATGCTAAATCGGCTCGCAGATGTATCCAATCGATATTCCATTTCGACTCGTCGTAAGGATCAGAAAGGACAAAGTCAGCCCTATTAACCGAACCAGTTGCTTGCGCGCGCGCGCGCGCGCCGGGCAATTTCTGGCGCCGCCTTGAGGGCGGGGAGGGGGGGGGGGGGGAGGGGGTCAGCCAATCACGCGCGCCTCGGGCCTTTTGAATTTAAAAGGTCAAAGTCAGTGCAAGTCGCGACCCGTGGCGGCACTCCGGCGAAATGTATCCCGAGATCGGCGCGGGATAAGGCTGTTGCTGACTTCAACATGTGTGGGGCTGTTCCAACGGATGCCGTCTTTATTTATTTATTTATTTTTCTCACGGGCGGTCTCTCTCTCTCTCTCTCTCTCTCTCTCTCTCTCTCTCTCTCTCTCTCTCTCTCTCTCTCTCTCTCTCTCTCTCTCTCTCTCTCTCTCTCTCTCCTCTCCTCTCTCCTCTCTCCTCTCCTCTCCCTCTCCTCCCTCTCTCTCTCCCTCTCTCCTTCTCTCCCTCTCTCCTTCTCTCCCTCTCTCCTTCTCTCCTCTCTCCTGCGCCTCTCTCCCTCTTTCCCTTTCCTCGCTCTCCCCCGCCCGGCGCTGTTTTTATGTCGCTCGCCAAATTATTATTGCAAGCAATGGTTTTATGCAAATGTTAAATTATCTGACCACAGAAAAATGTGAATTTAGTTAGGGCGCAATTACAGAACCCCATTTCAGAATGATGATTTAAAAAAAGAAATACACTGTCGTTTCTCCAAGGACGATTTCATGAAGCCGCGGGGAATAATAACATTTCATGCGTAATAAGAACAAGAAAATGAATGGCGGCGGCTGTTTCCCGCGATCACCGGGTTTATTTATGGCGCGATGCACAATTAATCCGAACAGCGATGGAGACAAATGTGGCCGTAGTTGGCGGGTCGGCGTAAAAGTCCGTTAGTGTGAGACTGCGCTGGGGGGAGAGGAGGTGGGGGAGGGACTGGGGGTGGGGGTCTGAGAGAGAGAGAGAGACTGCAGGAAGATGGTCGTTGAGGGCCGCCCGGTACTCATAACTAAGTTCTCTGTCACTCTCTTCCCCTCGTCACTTCCTCTGTGGTGTCTATTTTATCGCTTTCTCTCCCTCACTCTCTCTCTCTCTCTCTCTCTCTCTCTCTCTCTCTCTCTCTCTCTCTCTCTCTCTCTCTCTCTCTCTCTCTCTCTCTCTCTCTCTCTCTCTCTCTCTCTCTCTCTCTCTCTCTCTCTCTCTCTCTCTCTCTCTCTCTCTCTCTCTCTCTCTCTCTCTCCTCTCTCTCTCCCTCTCCCTCTCCCTCTCCCTCTTCATTCACTCCACTCCTTTGTGTGTGTGTTTCATTCCTTCCCATTCTTGCGACGCGAAGGACGTGCTATACATCTGTCTATACGAGATCGGAGGGTATTATTGTGGCTTGTAGATTCGCTGTAGATATTTTTGCGGACTGCCATTACGCGCTGTTTACCTTCTGCGGACGTCAAACAATTCCCCGGGCTGACGGGATCGACCAGCTGTGTGGCCGGGTTCAGTGCAGCGATTTCGTTAGATGAACATTTCCTGGTTGTGATCTCCCTTGGTTTCTGGGCGCTGCTGTATCGACCAGGGAGCCTCCGATGCCTTTTAGCTTTTGTTGTTGTTTCATTCTGGTGTTAGGTAGGGATGTTCGGGAGGTATAATTAGCATTTGGGTTATATTTGAATCGCGGGGGGAGGGGGGGAGGGGGGGAGGTTTAGGGGGGTCTGTCAGGAAACCGTCCATCACCTGCGGGAGAGTCGCCTTGTCACTAATGCTCAGGGAGGTTGATGGAACGTTTAGCTTTTTGCTGACCCTGCGAACTGTTTGTGTGCGTGGGCTTTGCGCGCTCTCTCTCTCTCTCTCTCTCTCTCTCTCTCTCTCTCTCTCTCTCCTCTCTCTCTCTCTCTCTCTC